AGAGAGAGAGAGAGAGAGAGAGAGAGAGAGAGAGTTGCAATATTGGACAACGCGTGCGAGGCTTTAATTCACAGAATACCTGTCCTGTCCATAGCATGCATCTGTCGCGATTACCCTTCTATCTCTCTGCGCAGGTAATCATTCCAGCCATTATAGCAGTATATATACCCTCGGCCCAAATACTTCTCTGTCCGGCTGAACCCTAGTCCCTACAGTCTCCTCATATCATCGTATGCTCGTCGCCGTTGATCACTCCTACCGTCCTGATGTTCTTTTGGTCACGATATGCCCGAAAATTCTTTGTGTCGACAAAGGTCTATGTCCTTATATCCGATGAAGCATCCAGGTAACGTCTCTGGTTTCCTTCCTTCCCTTGTACTTGTCCATCTGTCCTTGGAGTCCGTGTTGTGTCCTTGAATTAGATATTTGAAATTTTGTCCTTGTATCAAAACTTGGTACGCCTCTTCTTTTGTAGTCCCGTGTGTTCGAGAATTTTGGCGAGATGAGTCGTTTTAAATCCGTCGATGGAATATCATGAGTTTATTTGATGGAAAATGATAGGGATTTTTGGTATTTGGTTGGTACGGTTTCGTGACTTGCATTGCATTTTAATTTCTTTCGGTGTGATTGCTATGTGGTTATATCTCTTGTTTTTGGCGTATGATTTTATATGTGTGATTCTTGGTTGTCTTGGTTCTTGGTTCTTTGAGGAATTTTGTTCGGCAAAAGACTGTCATGTTGATTTATCTTTCAGCAGAAATTCGAAGTGGTTTTATATTTCGATTCATTTTTATCTGCTTGCTAAGTACCTTTCATTTTGCCAATTCTTTCTGTCTTCCGTTTCCAAAAAATCGAGGAAGACCTTACGCACCGTGTTGTCTTTACAATTTATGAGAAAGGCCAAAATCGTCGAACGTGTTGTCTTCCACGAGTATTCCAACAGTTTGAGTTTCGTATAATATAATTCCATTGCGGCGGGTAAATCGCGTATGTCGTGCATGTTTGCTACCATTCTGTGTAATGTGTCGATGATCGTTAACACCTTGGTGTTCACGGAACCGACACTCCCGAAATGACGGATAGACCGAATAGAGAGAGAGCTTAATAACCCCTCCCAGAGTGTAGCTTCATTCTTGAGTTTATGTGTAGATTTCAGGAGGGGTTCGGGATCAATTTTAGTAATTCTTGTTTCTAAGTAATTCCACTCTGTACTTCGTGTATTGGATGTGGATTCTAACTTTAGTGATGAATGGTAACATTTTATGAATGAATTCATTCTCTTGTGTTGTTGTTCTCATTTGCAATTATTATGAGCATTACGTCATCGATAAATCGCTTCCCATGTACGAGTTTTTTGTCCATGCCGATTTCAGAGCACCATATGCGCAGACCATGTTCGCTATCGGTGGGCTAGATCTCTTTCCCATGGGAATGCCTTTAATTTGTTGTAGGAATGTACCTTGCAATTATATGCATGGTGAATGCCATAATATAATAAATCGCTTAATATATCGATCTTCACTGTTTTCCATCCGTATGTACCATTTGCTTTTCCAAAGTTTATGTATCTTCTTCTTAGTTTATAGCACAGATGGGTCTTTCTTTTCTCTCTCGCCATACTCACTCAGCATCCATTGCATGGCATTAAGGACATGTGTATGGTCCAAATTAGAAAACATGTCTTTAACGTCATACATGGCGCATAGCACAATGGCATTCTGTCTGTATGTCAGTGTTGTAGTTTCGTTGCATTTTTTTAGTTCCGGAAGAAGATGATTCATACCCTGTAGATTAAACCCTAACTGCCACGTCTCACTTAGGAAATTTATAGCCCTTGATAAGATTTTTTATGCTTGTCGTGATGGTTCGTTATATGTTGATACAATTGGGCGTCCTGTGGATACGTCTTTGTTTTTTGGTATTGTGTACGCATTCCCATATGAACCATTCTCATCCCACTTTATCACTTTTCCCAGTACACATGCTTGATATGTGTGCTTTACTTGTTGGAGAATCTCACTCTTTGTTTGTTGGATGATCTCGTAGTGTGCAGAATCGAAGAAGAAGGATTTGGTTTTCACAAACCACATCATTGGACATTCAATATACGTCTCACCGGAATTTCTATCCAGTGGTGATAATATATATCCCTTTAACTTGTTCTTAATCTGCCAAACTTCAGAGATATCCAGGTGCTGGTGGTCATTTTTGTCAGTGATGATGAATTGAGACAAATCCACGTGTATTCTACGTGGAACTCCCATTTTTGTTGGTATATTCGATATGGTTTACATTATTGCTTTGTGTACCATTTGCTTTCCAATTTCGACATTTATGTGAGGTACGTTCTTTGCATTCCAGATGTCATTGAGTTGATTATGTTCAATATCACTCAATCGACAAGCAACATGTGAATGGATTTTTGGAAGCGGGGTCGTTGCACAATCACACACAGGTAGTGTTTTCATTACCTGTCTGTGATTATGCACGATTTCACCAATTGTTATAGATTTTCTTAACATTACTCTCATACGTGATACTAGATCTTTTGCCAGGTTGGTATTCAATATGCTTCCAATTACCGCATCAGCAGTTGCTTTTTGAACTTGTTTGATGTTAATCTGTGTTACGTACAAAATTTTGAATATTAGTCTCCGTTTAATGTTAAATGCGAACTTTCTTTTTGATATTTTTGCAAATACAACCTTTATAGTTCCACGATGTTTCTTGTTGGTGATCGAGTCGACCTTTGATAGTAGCACTAATAGGTCATCCAATGATAACTTCTACGGTTCTTTCCTTCTCCATGGGGCTCTCACACAGTTCATTAGTGTATTCCTGTGTTTATTCAATGATAATCCCGTATGTACTAACTTAATTACGCAACATGTACAACCATTTTCCAATATATCTTTGCATTCCTTGAACATCTACTGTACTCCATCCACTTCGATTATGGTAGATCCAAATGTCGTTTAATTACTTTTCATTTTTCATACCATAATCTTTCAGCTACTCTGTATCATTGCTCTTGGTTGTAGAATTTGAGTTAGTTTCATCGTGTATGCGGATCTCACTGATTTAAACATTTCTGGCATATTTTGATTAATTTGTCCTTTCCTTATGGATTTCTTTCGCCTTCTTTGATTTCTTTTCTTTCTTGATTTCGTTCTTTTTCCACGTGTGTTCAAATATGGATTTAACCTATTGATGAGAGTTTCTTCCATCGAAGTTACTTCAGTTTTAACTCTAGTCCATACTGGGATGAGTACATACTTATACCAGTCGAACTTACGTAACCAGCTATATAGTTTGCGTTGTACTCCTTTACCCGTTTTTTTAGCCAAAGTTGACATGCTCGCACCATCTTTTATCTAGTCGCCGTCCTGTCTTTCCTATGTAAAAGTGACCACACCACAGTGACGCAAGTACATATACGCAGTAATTCGAGTCTAATGATGTATCTACTCCCACAAACTATACCATCCACAAGTCCACAAATGATCCTGCCCATGTAATACTACCCTCAACTGCTAATGACATAAAGAATATTTTGTATATCTTATTACTATCGGAGCGATTTTTAATTTGCCCAATATTTACGAGTAGGTTAATTCTTGAGGTTATACGATGTATATACGTCCATTTTTGGTCACTAGTAAGACACCACGTTGACTCTGACCGTTCTACCTTTCCGAGATGTCTTGATCACTTGATGATGTGGATGATGAATCATCATCATCGTTATTGGAATCTGTGTCGTTATCTTCGCTGTCATCATAACTTGAGGCTTCACGTTTTATCCCATCATGGTGGAGGTGCGTTTTGAACTCAGAATCATGTGTGAAGTCCCTTCCTTCGTATATCACGAGTTCTGGTACTTTGCGCAATGCAACTATGGCCTGAGGTTTGTCCTTGTACTTTAGGTCGTGAATCTTCTACAGTTCCTTCGGATCTGTGATGTGGAGCCTCAGGAGTTGCGTATCGGCCATTGGTTTGTATTCGAAATTGATGTTTCTCTTTGCCTTCGCTGCTCTGTTGATTCCGTTCGGTCGTCGGATCTTTGTCCTCCCTCTTTGGGTGTGGTGCCTGTGTTCGAATTGGTACACTCCTACTAATATGTACAGACGCCGATGTACCAATCATCATTGATCCTTGAAAATGATTTGGTTTGACTGCGGAGGGTGTGCGAGTTTTGGTTGGCTTGTTTGTCTTCTTCAGGGCTCCTTTCACAGCGGCCAACTCATACTTCATCAACTTGATTTCATTGACATCTCTTCGTACCTCAGATACCATCTTCTCCACCTTACCTTCCTCTGTGAGTGCCTTCTTTGTTCCAGTGGGTCCTGTCTGCATGCTTCCCGCTTTGCTCGTCTCTCCACCTGGATTTTTCGGCAGTGTAGTTTCCAGTGCCTTGTCGCTCGTTGTCTTCAAATCCGATGCTGTTAATGGCTTGGTTGTCCTCTCATCCACTGACCTCGTTTTCTTCTCGCCAACATTACCATTGGTTTCCACCTTCTTCGCTTGTGTGTGCTTCTCGTTGTCCGCTAACTTCGTTGTTATTTGCTTGATGGTTTTCTTCATCTTTTCCACTTCCCGCATCAATGCAAAGATCTCCTCCTTTTTATCGGTTGTGAACCACGCTCTATTACCTGGTGGTGGAAATCACTTCGCCTTTGTTCCCACTGCTATCGTCCAAATCTTCTAGGGGAGTCATATTTTGCTCTCCTCCTCCTTACCGACATTGATCTTGATCTATGTATGCGGTCACGTGGTGACCTGAATCTACCCCTTTTGATCCTTTTTCTTCCTTGTGACAGTGTTGACGATGATGATGAGGAGTGTCTGCGCTTCGGTCTTGCCGACAATGAACGCAACAGCGCCATCTTCCCTAAAGTATTTGGCACCTTGGTTATCGTTCCTGCACATAAACATTCCCACATAGAGAATTGATTAGATGTGTCATTCCCGGAGATGCTATCATCAACTATAAGGTATTGGTAAAACCAGCTTAATTGCAATCAAATGCAAACAATTCAATTAATTAATAAATAATAATAATAATAATAATAATAATAATAATAATAATAAGTAGCAACCCAAAACAGAAAGAAAGGAAATGAAATGAAATGACATAAGATGAATCTCCATCGCAATAATACTGACTCCCGCAGTACCATGATAAATTCGGTAGGAAACCGCATCCGAATAATCGTCCTCGCCGCAAACACTGCGTCACATGTTAGTACAAACCAAACTACCCAACAAGACATAGGTATGGATATGATGTATTGTATACCAACCTTAAGTCAGTGCCGATCTTCATGGGTGCTTTCCGCAAGTTCAAAGCACCGTGCTTTGAGATACACACTTGCAATATTGGACAACACGTGCGAGGCTTTAATTTCACAGAATACACGTCCTGTCCATGGCATGCGACATATACTATCATGATTACACTTCTACCTCTCTGCTCAGATAATCATTCCAACCATTTTCAACAGTATATATACCCTTGGCCCAAATACTTCTCTGTCCAGCTGAACCCTAATCTCTGCAGTCTCCTCATATCATTGTATGCTCGTCGCTGTTGATCACTCATACCATCGTGATGTTCTCTTGGTTGAGATATGTACGAAAATTCTCTACGCCGACAAAGGTCTGTGTCCTTATATCTGATGAAGCATCCAGGTAATGTCTCTGGTTTCCTTCCTTCCCTTGTACTTGTCCATCTGTCCTTGGAGTCCGTGTCGTGTCCGTGAATTAGATTTTCAAAATTTTGTCCTTGTATCAAAACTTGGTATGCCTCTTCTGTTGTAGTCCCGTGTGTTCGAGAATTTCAGCGAGATGAGTCGTTTTAAATCCGTCAATGGAATATCACGAGTTTATTTGATGATTTTTTTTTTTTTTTTTTTTTTTTTTTTTTTTTTTTTTTTTTTTTTTTTTTTTTTTTTTTTTTTTTTTAATAGAAACCAAAGCTCCATCTATTGGTGGGGAGCGTCACCTGCTGGAAAACGGGTCCAGCGTCCCTTACACAGATAAGAGAAAAAAAATACATTGGAAAGGCAGGAAATTGGATGGCGACTAGAAGAAGCCTGCCAACATTGATTGCTCTGAGGATCAGAGGATTGACTGAGCAGGTGTGGGACTGAAAACCTAATGATCCCCTACTACTCCTCCATTCCTGTACCAGGGCTATGGTCCGGTGGGAACCACTGGGGGGCACCACTGGGGATTCCTTTCATCCTCCTGCTCAACTTCTCAAAACATTCCTCAACCACCCTGCTGCCACACACCCAACCTGCATCAGATGAGATAGGACCAAGACGAGATGGCTAGATAGTCCTGGATTTGAGTGGACTAACCCTACAATTCGAACCAACTAATACATCAGACTACAACAGCCGCAGAAAAAAACAAACAAACAGAAAACCGGAAAAATAGACAGCAACCAGATAACGGGGCCCCGGATCGACAATGACCAAAAACCTGACCCCAGACTTTCCATACAACTCAGATAGCTGAGAACCAAGCCAAAGCTATCAAAACGGACTACGACCGACGTGAAAAAACAAAAACCGAAAAAACAGACTGTAACGAGACCCCGGATTGATACTGATCCAACTCAAACCCACAACATAATACAATAGATAAAACCGACTAAAAACGACTTGTCCGCTACCCGTATGAGGGCTTCGCCGGTTACAGGCGTAGGATTGTGGGTGGGGGGGGAACGGGTCTGGAAACTCCTTTGCCGGTCTCATAGGGATGTTGGGGTCTATTGACAGCCAATCCTTAAATCTCAATTGGTAGTCCCCTGGCGCCTCCTCTTCCTGGTTGTCCCCCCTCCCCTCCCCCTCTTTCCATCCTCAGGGCCAGCATACTTCTGCTACCCATCCCTCTCGATCCCCGCCCAACCACTCCCTGGAAATCTGTAGTAGCCGTTCCCGAATGTCTTTGGATCTATGGAGGTTATCTAGTGATTGCTTCAGTGATTTCCATATGAAAGAGAGTTCTAATTGGAAGTGTGTTTTGAATTGCTCCACCCTTTCTTCTCCCTCTACCCGAACTTGATCTAGAGTTAAGACACATCGTTGCCACCACAGGACCCACAGGATCGTTCGTCGGGACATGTGAAACATATTCGACTTAAACGAGTCGTCTTGGAAGGGTGGGTAATATCCTGTTAAGATGACACGCCAATCCCACGGCTATGGATGCCCCGGGACCATATGTTGCCACACCCTGTCCCACCACCTCCAGGTAAGAGTGGCTGCTGGACGTTGTAGGAATATATGCTCGATAGTCTCCGCTCTTTTCCTAGCCGGAAAGCTCCGCAGACATCGGGCGCACCAGGGGAGAGTGCGGCCCTGTTGCTCTAAATGCGTGTGATCGATTAACCAGTTGTTGGTTGGTAGGCACCGATGCAGGATCTGCCACTGCAGAGATGTAATTTTCGCCGGTTTGTACTTGGTATCGCTGAACCAGCGAATTGGTGTGAGGAGGTGCCTTTCCACATTGAGGTGTCTTTGCCATCTATCAATCACCGTGTCTTTTAAACAACGCTTTACCCTGAGCATTCGGTATGTTGCTTTGACTGAGAGGCCCGACAGTTTTTTAGGTTTGGGATGTCGTGGGTTGTTCCGTGTGTCAGGGTTCCAGACCCATTCCAGCGGATTAGGATTTTTTCTATTTAGTTGGTACGGTTCCGTGACTTGCATTGCATTTTATGTGGTTATATCCCCTGTTTTTTTTGCGTATGATTTTATATTTCTGACTCTTGGGTGTCTTGGTTCTTGGTTCTTTGAGGACTTTTGTTCGGCAAAAGGTCGGCATGTTGATTTATCTTTCAGCAGAAATTCGAAGTGGTTTTATTAACTTCTATATTTCGATTCATTTTTATCTGCTTGCTAAGTACCTTTCATTTTGCCAATTCTTTCTGTCTTTCGTTTCCAGAAAATCGAGGAAGACCTTATGCACTGTGTTGTCTTTACAATTTCTGAGAAAGGCCAAAATCGCCGAACGTGTTGTCTTCCACGGGTATTCCAACAGTTCGACTTTCGTGGAATATAATTCCATTACTGCGGGTAAATCACGTATGTCGTGCGTGTTTGCTACCATTATGTGTAATGTCCCGATGATCGTTAACACTTTGGTGTTCACGGAACCGACACTCCTGAAATGACGGATAAACCGAAAAGAGAGAGAGAGAGAGAGAGAGAGAGAGAGAGAGAGAGAGAGAGAGAGAGAGAGAGAGAGAGAGAGAGANGAGAGAGAGAGAGAGAGAGAGAGAGAGAGAGAGAGAGAGAGAGAGAGAGAGAGAGAGAGAGAGAGAGAGAGAGAGAGAGAGAGCAGGGCCTGTACTCCTCTTCACTGTTGAGTCCATCTCCTTTCGTTTTCTTCAGTCTTCCTTCCCCCTCTTTTCTTGTCTTCAGATGTTTTCTCGATAAAAAGACGAAAAAAAACAAGAAGCATAAGGAGGTAGCGATTGCCGAGATGTAAGAGGAAAAGAAAAAAGGAAAAATGAGCAATTGACCAGAAGAATGCCTGACCAACTGACCTAGCTCAGTTGGTACACCCTTGACCTGTTGAAATACAGACCTGAGTTCGAACTCTACTGAAGACGGATGAGTAAAATACTACGAACGCGAAAAGATAAAACAAGAACACAACAAAAGAGAACGATACCAGAAGTATGCATGAGAAGAGGTGCCATAAAGGGATCGGCGAAAATAAGAGAGAAAACTTCATAAAAAAGAATTAAAATTTAAATCTAAGTAAAATAAGTAAATAAAATTCATGAAAAAGTTGATAGAATTAAATTCAACTAATTATGTATAAAAAAAAAACTCAGATGGGAAATAAAAGACTCCTATGCCCACTGCGTGCAAGTTTAGTGTTATTTGATGTTCCTAACGTTGTACTTGTCACTACGCTTGTGTTCATAACCCCATCCTGGTTTTGGTTGTCGTTGCCCATTCATGTTGTTGTCAATAATAAATGGCATCCGTATAGAGGAACTTGTCTTTCTCCATTTTGGTACATCCCAAGAGATCTTGGCTCACTTCCTTGGCGTCGAACGCATGGCGTATCGCCACCTCAGCACGGTTTCCAGTCACGCGGCTGTGCCAGACTCAACAATACTGATTGGATCAGAGATTGAAGGAGGGGCAGCTGTAGGTGACGGTAGTCTTATTATAGATAGCCGTGTTGGGAAAGATACCCAAGTTGGAACAGGTTGTGTTGTTATGACAATTGACATTGGTGATAAATTGGAAGAAGACTGTGAGGAAGACAGCGACAAAGACAGTGACGAAGACAGCGACGAAGAGAAAGAAAAGGATATTGGTCATTTTCCTGCTTCTGCTAGTACAGTTGATGCTAGCACGAGAGCTGGCAGTGAGTCGGCTGTTGGTTCTGCTGCTTCAGCTGCTGCAAAGCCTGCAAGTAGGAGAGAGGATGGGGCCGCCTCTGCTGCTGCTCCTACTGCTTTTACAGAGGAGGATGAAAAGAGCAGGAGAAATGACGAGTATAGTTATCGTCTCCATGGGAATCGAACTGTGGGCGGAAGTTTATATCCTCATAAGAGTTCGGCTGATGTCAAGCGGTCACCGTTTTCCTTGCCAGATCGTCATTGCATCTGGTCTGCTCCCCTTGTTGGAGGGAAATGGGTCGTTCTCTGCTGTGGGGTTCTCGACAACCCCAAAGATAATGTTGACGAGGGGTTGTTCTGCGGAAGGCCATGGCGAGTGTGGATGAGAGAGCATGGTGTGGAGGAAGTGGATTTATGGGGAGGAGGAGGAGGAGGAGGAGGAGGAGGAGGTGGTGGTGGTGGTGGTGGTGGTAGTGGTATGGCACTATCTTCGAGAACCCTATGGAATGCTGATTTGTTCCCTGTGGTTGGTCGAGTGGTGGATGGTCTGGAGGCTGCTGTGTGGCTGATGAGTGGCCACCTGATGGAAGGAGCAAGATCAGGGCAAACCAGTGGCATTGATGGCTCGGTAGGGGAGGGAGACGATGGCAGTATGAGCTTGGGGATGACAGTCTCTGACTCAGCAAAGTGGGAGAGCATGGAGATGACCAAAAGGTGGAGGGAGAGTGATAGGATTAGCTTGGGGGCGGTTCACGGAAAGATAAATTTCATGGCCCTTGATCTTACCCTGAATCAACGGCGATCAAAGACGGCTGCGGCGATTGCATATGCTGCGGTGAGAAGTGGGACCCTAGATCGGGACATTGCAGCCCTTTGCGGGCATTGTTTGTATCTGGAGGAAGTACCTCCGAGGGTTGAGAAGTACGGTACGAAAACGGAACCGGTATCGGGACCGGGAGGAACAGCGGAACTGCGATCAGGACCGATGGCGCACTGCTGGGCTCCCACAATCTCTCAGCCAAAGGGGAGAAGACGGAGCCACCAAAGGACGAAGACAACGAGGAGTAGTACACAATCAAGACTTGCGAAGAAGTTACTTGCAGGTCTCTCTAACCTGCCACGAGATGGCCTTGCTGTCAGCAGCAGCAGGTTGTATCAGGTTCAGGCGGATTTGCACGCATTGTGTGGAGAGGAGGAATCGGCCAGTGAATGTCAGGAACAGGCTTGGAAGTCAGTTCGTAGCGAAACTTCGGTGTCAATTCATGGCCATTGCAGTGAAAAGACAAGAACGATGGCGGCGGAGGTTCCTTGTTCTTGCCATGACAGTGCAAGCAGCAACAAAAGGGGTATGAGTGCCCATTGTGGGGTCTATCGTGTAGAATTGCCCGTTCGATTGGATTTCACTGGGGGATGGAGTGACACCCCTCCCTGGAGTCTGGAGCGAATCGGACGTGTGCTCAACATGAGCATCCTGCTTGACGGTTCCATGCCGGTTGGCGCAGAAGTGTCTGTGGTCAGGGATGTTTGTGGAATCCTCCTTCTTGACGACTTTGGCGAGCAATTGGCCATTGAAGACCCTTGGATGCCTGTGTGGGATAATGTCGTAGCCATTGATAAATTTGCCTTGGCCAAGTCTGCCTTGCTCGTGACGGGTTTCCTAGGGGCCAAAAGTTCTGACCTTTGGGGGGTTAACCCCCACTTAGACAACATCCGCCAAGGCAGCAATGACGAAGGCACGGAGGGGTGTAACCGGCAGGCCTATACATGTAACTGGGGTCTGATTGTCCGGACGTGGACAGATTTGCCACGGGGAAATGGGCTTGGAACGTCTAGCATCTTGGCGGCAGCATTAGTTAAGGCCCTGCTTCGTGCTAAACATGTGGATGGTGGAAATGAAGTGGTCAGCAAGCTGGTTTTGGTATTGGAACAAATAATGGGCGCTGGAGGGGGCTGGCAGGACCAGGTTGGGGCGCTGTACCCGGGTATTAAGTGCTCAGTCAGCATGCCAACTCAGCCCATGGTGCTCAGGGTTCAGGACTTGGCTATTCCTCCGTTAGTGAAAGAAGAGCTTGAGAAGCGCCTCGTCATCTTCTATACAGGGATTGTATGCTCTCTCTCTCTCTCTCTCTCTCTCTCTCTCTCTCTCTCTCTCTCTCTCTCTCTCTCTCTCTCTCTCTCCACTTTCTATATGCTGTACGTAATACCGTCTCTTTTTCATTTTTCTACTAAGCTCAGTGTATAAATCTGACTGGGTCAGGGTTCCAACTAAACATTTACATGTGTGTACAATTCAGCCACATGGGATGGGTACAACACATCGGTCCATGGATGAAATTCCGCTCAATATATGTTTCCTCCCCCCGTGGCCCCCCCCTGCCCCCCCCCCCCGCCCCTTTTAACAACACATGCCCCATCTATTCTGGGGCCCGTCAGTCAGATTGCTCATCACCGGCAAGCATGTTTGTACAGGGAAAAAGAGCAAGAAAGAAAAGAAGGTGAGACAGACAAAACAGAGTTCCACCCCTCCCTTGCAGCTCTAGCCGCTTGCACAGGGGGGGGGCTGCTTTGGCCATTCTTTGGCCATTCTCCCCCCGAACCAGAAACCGTCTGCAGGGATTCACTTGCTGGCCGGGAAGCTTCCTGGCACGGCAAGGCGTGGGGGAGATCTGCCTGGGACTGCCAGCCTCATTAGGCCGCTCGGCGTCCGTTACCCACTTATCTCTTCCTTCGTATAGTAGTTTCGCTACCCTCTGTTGACTACTACAATCCTCCCCTTGTGTCATGATATACATCCATCTTTGGCGATTTTTAATTGTTTAGGCCCCGCAATAAAGTGAAAACAAAAATGTAAAAAGTGAAAAAAAACGAAATAGTAAGTGGGTGAGCAAGTTTTGACACCGCCATCTTTGGCGATTTCTAATTTTTGTTTGGCTTAGCAGAATGACTTCAAAATTTATAGGCATTTACCTCAAATCATGGAGAACTCAGAACTCGCAAAAAACAATTCAGAAACACAAACGTATTTTTAGGCCCCGAAACAATTTTTGGCGGGGGCCGAATGCCTTCGGGTTTGGATCCCGAACGGGACCCCAAACGCCCATACGTACGGAGGTCGGCCCGGGGACCTCCGTACGTACGGGCTGGTGCCCCTGATAATAATAATAATAATAATAATAATAATAATAATAATAATAATAATCATAATAATAATAGTAATAATAAATCGGTGGTGGAATGACACAGCTCTTGGGCCTCCCTGTAAGTACTCACCAAATGAGAAAAAGACAAACTATGGACGATGTACCTTTCCACATTCTACCGGAAGGTACATTCTTCATTTTTTTTACATTTTGCACATTTGGTGAGTATTGTGGCTAGGCCATTTGATTCAGGATTGCTGTTGTGCCTCTTTGTGTACCTGTGTAATGGCTTCTTTTTTTTGTTCCTTCCTTTTTTTGGGGGGGAAAATTGTTGAAATACCCCTAAAAGTTGGGGTATTCCGCTAGATACCCCTGAAACACAGGGGTACGCTGAAATGGCCCAAACTTCTGCGTCTGCCCCTGTCCCCGTCATGGGCAACTTTGCCCTATGCCCTGGCCCTGGGCTGCAGGGGCCTGTGCGTTTCTTCTGCCATATGCGGGGTGCAAAGGACAGACGTACCTGGGCATATAGACAAGTTGTCAAGGGCCCCGTAGGGGTATGTGCAAAAGATGACAGGTCCAATTGGCGAGTGGGGAATTTTGCAAAGTTTCACGACTGTCATAGGGCATTTCGCCGTACACATGCCTTTCAGGGGCATCGGGCCAAATACCCCAACCGTCAGGGGCATTTCAACAATTTTGAATTTTGAATTTTCCCTTTTTTTCTTTATGTGTGTCATTCTTGTGCAGGGCCTATGCTAATCTTCTCTGTAACATGTCCCGGAGGACGTGTAATGACTTTCTTTTTTTTTTTTTCTCTGAGAAAGCTTCGTGTAATGGCTTCTTCATATGTTCGTAGGGGGGGATAACTTGGTGCACATGCGTTCTAGGGTTAAAGGACTGGATCTCTTTTAAGTCTGTTGGGTTGACGGGGAGGGGGAGGGAGGGAAAGGGGGGGAGGTGTATTGGGAAAAATGTAAGAAAGAAAAGAAAAGAAAAGAAAAGGCAAAGGATCACAAGATTTAACTTTGTCTGACCCCATCTGCGTCTCGTCTTCGCGTGATAAAATATTTGATGCAGGATGGGTTGGCAAGTGTTTGGGACTTCATCTGACTCGCTCGGGTGGTTGTTTTCACATCCATGTCATGTGCAGGATGGGTTGGCAAGTGTTTGGGACTTCATCTGACTCGCTTGGGTGGTTGTTTTCACATCCATGTCATGTGCTATGGTTCTTCAGGGTGGTTAACTTCCATGTTTTCATGTTTTCACATGTGTGGCACGTGCTCTGGTTGTTGGCCTTGTAGGCTCGCGTAGCAAGAAATGTACTGCAGGAAGTTGTGAAGAAGTACTTAAGGAGGGATGCACGGACAATTTCTCTCATCCAGCGGCTGGCAGACCTTGCAGCTCGTGGTTCGTGCAAGGAAACAGTTTGTCTCCTCCTCTCTCTCTCTCTCTCTCTCTCTCTCTCTCTATATATATATATATATATATATATATATATATGTACAGACCTTTCTTTGTTTCGTGGGTGTTTTGCTGGCTTGTGATGGGGTGTGAACCGACAGTCTGTAGAGTTTTCCATCTGGTGTGG